CAGGAGTAACTTATTAGCTTTTGTACATGCATGACTGATCTCTTTCAATCTTGATTCCACATCTGTGACTGTTACATTCACAACTGTTGCATTCACAACTGCTGTTTCCTCTCTCACCTTTTTCAAAGCATTGTTCAGGATGCGCGGATGCAATTCATATAACAGGTAGAATAATGAACACTTGAAGACTGCATACTATTGAATCCGCGTGATCAGTAGCACCTGCCTGAGATATTCATCTCATAGTCTCATAGGCTTGCTCACTAGATATTTTGTCAGCATGTTATTTAAGATTTCATTCAAGCATTTCATCTTCTCATTTATTCATGAATAATATGATATTGTTCTACAATATCTCATCTGTAATTGGCTTATGAAATGCCTCACTGCTTCTTCTACAAGGTTCACATCATTATCAGTTAGAATCTTGTACAGTATTTCATAGTTGATATAGATCTTATTATATAGAAACTTTGTCATCATCTTCTCTATCATCTCTGAAACTGCTTTCACAACTGGCCAGTCAGTAGTGTAATCAATAGCAGTGATTATTCATCAATTTTTATTTAACATTTGTAATAATATGTCTATAAGATTCATCTCTCATTGTTTAAATAATTGTATTGTATACTTTATCTGATGTTATACTTTCTTATATTCTAATTCTTTCTTAGATTCTTTCACAATCTGATAATTCAGACACTCATGAGTATATATCTGAATGTTCTCAGTCATGCTTGATCAGTATGCTCTTAATTCAAGTACATTCATGAGTTCAGAGCTTTCTAAGTGACTGAATTTCTTATGCATGTAAGTCATCAAGTCATGTCTAAATAAAGATTCTAAATAGAGAGCTTCTGCATATTCTAGATTATAGTAAAGTATAACATCATTTTTCAATTTTCTCAGCTTAAAGTTCAGAAGTATCTCTTCTACTACTCTTGTAAGATACTTATTATTCAACATCTTGTCATTCTCTAAGTAAGAGATTATAATATTCACTCATTCTAATTTCTTACATTCTCTCAGCATATTTAATGCAAACATTTCTTATACCTGATTTGTAGAACTCTCATTCATGAAATCAGATCTGTAACTGATTATATCAGACATTACAGTGTTCAATCTCTTTCAGTATTTAATATAAAGATTATATACTTGAAACTTTGAGATTCAACATACTAAGTATTTGAAAGGTTTTATTATTAAATGTAGATAGACAAGGCTTTCATGATCTGTGATTACTGTTGTTATATATCTGTTGTCAATATATCTATCTCACAATGTCAGTGCATGCTTGATTACTAGCAATTTCTTTTCATACACTGAATAATTGAGCTCAGTGCCTGATAGTTTTCTATTATTATATATCATCAGATGCAGCTTGTCATTCTTATTCATTTATAGAAGAGTGTCTTCAATAGCCTATTCAGATGCATTCATCTCAATGTAGAAAGGTTTATTACAATCTGATTAAATAAGCACTGAGAATGTTATTACATGTTCTCTCAGTGTGAGAAAAGCCTCTTTATATATAATATTTCAGATAATTGAATAAAACTTCTTCTTTTGCAGATTTGCATTCATTTCTCTTAAGAGATCTGAGAGTGATGCAGATATTTATATGAAATTCTTGATAAATCTGCAGTAATATAAGATCAATTCAAGAAACTGTTGTATATAATATATATTTCTCAATCACAGCTAATTCACTATAACATCTAATTTCTCTGAAATAAGGTGTATACAGTCATCATTTACTACATATTCTATGAACTTTAACTCTTTCATTTCAAACACATACTTTGTTAATTTGATATAGAGCTTATGCTCTGCCAGAGTTATAAACACTTTATTAAGATACTTCAGATATTCATTATATGAGTTTGAAAAGACTAGAATGTCATTGAGATATATAAGATATGAGATTTTATTCTATTTATAAAGAATTGTATTCATCATCATTTGAAAGATAACAGACACATTTGTCAGACTGAATGACATTGCCAGGAATTTAAACTTCTCTCATTATGTATTAAACATAGTTTATAAGACTGACAGTTCATCTATATAAATCTGTCAGTATTCTGAGAGAAGATTGATCTTTAATAGATATCAAGTGTTTTCAACTATATTCAACTGTTGTTGAATTCATGACAGTGAATATTCATTCTTAATCATAAGCTTGTTAAGTGCTTAATAATTGATACATATTCATCACTTCTTATCTGTCTTTTTCATGAATAGAACTGAAAAGCCTCACATGCTTGATGAGAATTGTATAAGATTATATTCTAGAAGATCAGTGATCTGATACTTCTATTCTTCAAGATGTATTTGTGACAGAGAGTATGCATTCTGATTGACTGGTTTTATGTTCCCTGTGTCAATCTCATGTATGAATCCTCATTTCAGTGATAATTTCAGTGAAAGATCTGTTCAGAAGATCTTCTCATACTTCTTCAGAAGCTTCTTCATACACTTATTCTTCTATATATCTTTTATCTTGGTTTTCTTCACTTTCAGATTCTGTATGATATACAGAATGCTTTCAGATAAGATCTTATGAATTATTCTCTTTACTTATTAATATATAAGCAGATTTAATTCTTCTATATCAGAGATGTGAAATATCCTTCTCATATCAGTTAGTAGAATTGTATGAACTGTTTTCTTTCTATCAGTCAACTGTATATGACATGTATGTCATTGAATCTGCAGATTGAATCTTTGAAATCAATTGAGTCTGAGAATAAGATCATATTTCACATTCTACAGCTCTTATGCTCAAATATAGCAAGGTCATTCTTTAAAGTGCAAGGGAACTCTTACTCTTACAGATGATATCAAATATCAGTTATCAGATAATCTTATATATCAGAGATTCTTCACTCAGTGAATCTCTTTCAATCTTCAGATTATATAATTATTAATATATTATATAGAAGCTTCTATATTCACTAATACTTTTACAGTCATCTCTCAATTCTTACTTAAGTGTCTCTTATACATTAACATTTCAGGCTCTAAGACATTGAGATGAGTGTTCACTTCATCATTCTCACCTGCATCTCAGTCAGAAGCCTGCTTTCTCTTGACATTCACAGAATTCAGAGAGTCATCTAACACAGACATCTCTTTCACTTTAAAGACTTTTCATAGAATATCAGTAAGTATCTCTGAGCTCACTGATTCTGCTAGTTTTTTAACTCTCTTACTTCTCTTAACTGTATACACTGAGTGTAATCTTTTATATCATGATTTTAACATCTGCAGTTGAAGTAAGCTCAATGTTTACAATATTAAGATTTTCACTCAGAGAATTTCTTTTTCAGAGAATTCAGTGCTTTAGTGATAGCATTCAGATCTAGATTCATTATATCTAAGTGTGTAACTTATGTCATAGAAGTCTGATTATCTGTTCTTCACTGAGACATACTTGATTACAGTATTTTCTATTATAATTGACTTACTTATTCTCATATAATGAGAATATTATACACTTTCTTCACTGTGTCTGACTGTGAGATTAAGCATTTTCATTCTGCTCTTAACTCAGATATAAGACTATGAATGAAGATCTGTAAATAGAAAGATATTAAAAGCTCTTCATTTAATATGAGATAGTATAAGCTGAAGTGTGTGAAGTATAATATAAGATTACTTACTTATCTACACTCAGTGAAGTATTTATAACACTTATCTTATATATTCACTTTCTCAAAGTTATATAAGATTCATTTGAAAAACTCATTTCATATTTATAAGAATGAATATTATTTCAGATCTGTAAGATTCATCTTTTCATCAGTCATTTATAATGACTTTGCTTTTTCATGTAGAAACACAGCAGATCTTAAGACTTGTTAAAATTCTGTTAACTATCTATCTGTAAGTTCATATTTAATCTGATAATATAATTATATCTGACTTAGTCAGCTGATTGCAGCATTATTTTTTTAATTGCTATTAAAGCTTAATGACTTCAGCAGATCTTCTAACTTAATATATCTTATACTCAGATTCTCATTCTGTACAGCAGTCTCTGATGATGTGTATACTTCTGAAGAGATTATGAATAATTGTGATAAGATCTTCAGATTCAGCATAGTTATTTATCTGTATAAATATTCAATCTTCTGCTGCAGATCTAAGATCTGATTTTCTCTATTCTTATTAATAATGATGATTACATCAATGAAGCTCTTTATAGTGAATACTTAATTCACAGTGAATGTTAATTATTATTTAACTTCTGTCTCAGCCTGTCACTGTGTACACAAGGCCTTGATCTTGTTTAGAATTCTTATACATATACAGAGCTTCAATTTCAGTTCAGCAGTTTCAGTCACTTTTCTTACTACTTTAAGTAAACTCTCTGAGAGATTCTGCATATCTTCTGATTCAGATAGCAGAGAAGAGTGTTGTTCATATTAGCTAGAAAAGATATTTATTTTGATAATTTCTTGTTAATTATACAATGTCTATTATTATATTACTGTGTTATTATATCAGTATATTATTCTATCACTATATCATTATATCACTATCTGTTATTATTATATAACTTCAGTGATAATCACTTCTTCTTTTATTTCTTTAAGTGAAGAGTAGTCTTCTTTAAATCTGATTCATCACTCTCATTTCTTTTCTCACATCTCATCTGTTCACATACATAACATTTATCTGAGTATGAAGTTTTTCTCTAATAAGTGAAGCAGCATTAATCAGATGCTCTTTCACTCACTGCTCTTCATATACTCTCTTTTAAGATATTCTAGAATCACACTGATATGATAACTATAAATCACTTCATAGACAGAATTATCACACTCTGAAGAAGTCTACACTTCTTATCAGTTTTTAGACATGCTATCAGATGTGATTCAAAGATTACTTAAGTCAGCATACAATTACAGGTGTACACCGGCTTCTTATATATTGTAATATCATACACTAAATTAATTAGTGGCCGCTATGGCCCTCTCTACACTCGTAAGCTAGTTCGGAAGCGGCCGCGTTATTATCCGACGGTCGTACGTTCTTCCGAACCACACTTGAGAGATAATAAGGGGCTTATTCTGATGTTTTCTAGTGAGTAAATGTCTTTGTGGTGCAGCTGCGGCCTCTGTGACTGTTAGAAAAGCCAGGTTGAAGGCAGTGATGTCAATGAGCTGCAGGAGCACTGCTCTCATTGTCACATCTTCTCCTGCTTCTCTTGCAGCCATGGTGGTAGTTGCTGTGCCTTGCAGTGAGGTGTTGTCTCTTCTGCCAGCTGGTGCATCTGCATCTGGTCTGTTCCCTGCTCTTCTCACTGCTATTGCAACGCCGCCTCTCCCCCCAGTCAATACAGTGGTGTATGACCTCATGTGGTCATTCAGAGAGGAACCCGGGGAGAGCTTGATTTCAGAGACAGTGACTCTGAGAAGCTCAATCTGTAGTTCCTCTCCCGCGGCACATCTGAGCTCTGCTCAGACTGCTGCTGAGTTAGACTGACTGTGTGACTGTGTCTGAGACCAGAATCAAACTTTACAGTTATTACATTGTCTAAAAGCATTACTTCTGATCATGATTTATGTTCATTACATTGATCTCAAATCATGTTATTTCAAATATTAAAGATCTCAGATTCACTTTTCAAATAAAAATCTAGTCTTAGATAAAGAATATATTTAAATTCTTAATCACATTTTCATTCTGATCTCATTATTGAAAATGATATTAAATGAGATCATGAAATCATTTCTTACTTACATAATATTATAACATAGTGCTCATTTGTTGAAAATTCAATAGAGAGTGTTATTAAATATTATTACTTTTTTAAACACAGATTATAATTAATATCATTTTAATTAAAAAAAAAAAATATAAAATATAAAAAATAATAAAAAAATAAAAAACAAAACAACAAGAAAAAATCACAATAAAAAAAAAAAAAAAAAAAAAAAGAGAAAGAAAAAAAGAGAAAGAAAGAGAAAGAAAAAAAGAGAAAGAAAGAGAAAGAAAAAAAGAGAAAGAAAGAGAAAGAAAAAAAGAGAAAGAAAGAGAAAGAAAAAAAGAGAAAGAAAGAGAAAGAAAAAAAGAGAAAGAAAGAGAAAGAAAAAAAGAGAAAGAAAGAGAAAGAAAAAAAGAGAAAGAAAGAGAAAGAAAAAAAGAGAAAGAAAGAGAAAGAAAAAAAGAGAAAGAAAGAGAAAGAAAAAAAAAATAAAAAAAAAAATAAAAAAATAAAAAAAAATTAAAAAAAAATTAAGATTGCAGAGCTGTAGTACTCTTAAAATACTCACTTCTCAGAGTCTTTATAATATTTATTATTAACTGTATATCTCTCACAGTGAGAGTAACACAGTCATGATAAGTTATTATCTTAATATTATCTAATAAATAATCAGTATATATCTATATAAATATGAATAATTAGAAAATATACATTTAAAAAGTGTGATCAGAGTGAACTCTGCTATCACTTGAATAATATCAAGAATAGAATACTGAAATCAATGATTTTCTTCATTGATTTCACAGACAAGATGTATGAAGATAATCTTAAGAAATATAAGATTCTCTAACTTCTGATAGAAATGAATCTTATGAAGAGACTCTATTTTCATCATATCAGAGACTGAGTATTATTAAAAAGCATTACTTTAATACACATGCACTTACTACAGTGATTCATTCTCTGTACATATAACTGAGAGTTATAGCTTTCTCATGCTACATGACTCTCTCTGAGATGCTGCTACTGATTTGCAACTTATACAGTCTCTCAGTTCAGTATATACTGTGTATATACAGTTCTGTGTACTGAGGCTATATTGATCATTATGGCCTAGTATGATACTCACTTTTCACAGGCTATGTTTTGTTTAATTGAGAGAGAAGAAGGACATAACTGCTATTTTATTTGAGAGAGAAATAAGTAATTGAATCTGTAGAAGATAATTTGATTTCTTCTGTATTTAAAATTTGATTAGTCTATACTCTTTAATTTAAGAGTTTCTGAGAGTGTTTTAATAGTTTTCATATCAGCTTGAAATTAGTAATTGATTAAAGAAGAGAAAAGAGAGAAGAAAGAAATAAGAATAACTTATCTTTATAATATGAAAATAGAGAATTACTGTAATTATTTACTCTAGTAACAAAGATCTGTTTTCTGCATGTATCTCTGATACAGATTATATAATAACTGTATATAAAGAATATCAACAGTGTATGTATTGAATGAAGATGATATTATTATATAATACTGTAGCTATTTCTGTACATTGCTGAAAGCTGTTAATACTTTCTTTAAGTCTCTTTATATTTGATAAGTCAGTAATATATTTTAATACACTCTCTCTTTTATTATTATTATTATTATCATCATCATTATCATTATCATTACTATTATTATTATTATTATCATCATTATTATCATTATTATTATTATTATTATTATTATTATTATTATATTATTTCTGATCACCTCTTCTGTCTTCATCTCTCTTCAACACTTACTGAAATCAATTATGTTATTCTTCTTCAAATATTCTGTGATTCTGTGAATCATCAAGGCGCGTGAGCACTATCACAGATTGAAGAAAGAGAAGAAGAAGATGTTTAAGTGAGAGAAGACAGATTGTAAGATATGTTATAATACCTTGAAGAGACTCTGTAAGAGAGTAGAATAATAATGATTTTAAGTAACACTTCTGATAGATTTAGACTGAACTAAGTATAGAAATAATATGAATGACATCATCTGTGAGAGATTGAAGAAGAAGATAGTGAAGAGTCTTATACAGTAGTAATGAAATCAGAAGAAGTTCTGAGAATGATTTAAGTTCAAGATGAAGAGAGAGAGAGAGAAGAAGAGTATTACTATAAATAAGTAATAATAGAAGAAGATTAAGAGAGTGTTGAAGTAAGAGATAAAGAAGTTAAAACTGATAAGTTTTTTATTTATTAAGAGATAATAATTTTTGATAATACTTCTATTCTCTAATTGATTACTAGAAGCTGACAGAGAAGAAGAGAATTAAGGCCTTGTTCAGGTCTCAAATGCACTTCATGATTCAGAATATTAAGAAGACAGCTCTACTCTCTGAGCATGTCAATCTGCTTACTACTGAGATGAAACCTGAGACAGCAGATCAGAAAATGTGAGATTTTAAGATATAGATTGACCTGGCTGAAAGAGAGTAGTGAGAATTCTTCTCTGAGAAGACAGTGAAGAGAGATTTTAAGATAGTTATCATCTCAGATAAGAAGAAGAAGAAGAAGAAGAAGAATAAGAAGTGAATTATAAAGAATAATAAGAAGAATGATAAAGAGAAGAAAGATGATAAGTAGAAAAAGTTTTTTTCTTTTTATATTAGTTAGTTATAAGTTCATAATTATTAATAATTGAAATTAATTTTGAGTTTTTAAAAATTATTGTACAAGTTGTAATCAAGTCAGAAACAATATATATATATATATATATATTTAACTATTATGATTCATAAATCACTATAATGTATAAGTATTAATATTTTTTCAATATTGATATTTACAATATTAATATATTTTTAATAATATCATCTGATAATACAATTTAGTAATACTCTCTTTCACAATATTAATATATTTCAAGAAATATGATAGAGATTAATCAAGATTGTTTATTTACTTTTATACATCAATAATATTCAATCTGAGTTAGTACTAAAATTATAACTAAGCTAAGAAATAAGATTATTTTCTCTTATATTAATTCTTCTTACACACATCAGTGATTAGTTATTAAAAATAAATTATTATCTTTCTTAAATTATTATCATGTCTTCTGAATTCATTTCTTTCACTTCTTTTACTTCTATTGAAGATTTACAAACTCTTCAAGAAATCACTGTAAATCACAAAGTCTATATTATTTATAATTTAATACAGAATGCTCTCTTTCAATTATAATAAATAATTACTTCATTCTTCACATCTGATTTCAGGTCATGAAATTTATGAAAAACTCAATATAAATACTGAGATGAACTATAAAATAATTATCAACAGATTGTATTACAGATTACTGAAGAGTTATCTCTCTACTACAATCACTGCAACTTCATTCAGAAATATTCATTATAAACTGATTATAACTCTGAAGAAATTTTCTAACATCTGAAGTTATCAGAATGCAGACAATAAAAGAAAAATAATCAGAAAATTACTACTGAGCTGATAAGTTACTCTATCAGATAATGATTTTTAATAATACTAACTTTCTAATTTGAAGAAAATCATGTGAAAATAACCCTGTATCAGTACTCTGATTTCACAACTCTTATCTAATAACTTCTGTGAATAATTACTTTGTATATGTATATCTCAGAATCTTTCTCTTTGATTAATTGAAAACTCTGAATTCTGAACACTTCTTCAAATGCTTAATTCAAATCTTCATATTTCACATTAATTCTGTCTTCAGTTCAATCTCAAGATATACTATAAAGTTAATATACAATATCTAGAATCAGAGTTGAAGAATCATTGAAGAGTGTCTCTCAGAGTGAATACATAAACTAGTATAAATAATCTTATATTTATAGAAGTTACATGTTATTACATTCATGAGAACTGAACTTATTAAAAGACATTAATTAAATTTGAATCATTGATCAGTAGTTATACTGAGAATTATATAACAGAGATATTAATAACTGTGATTAAAAATGACTATTAAAATATTAGTCTCAGTCTTCTTACAATTACAACTGATAATGCTGTGAATAACTACACTATAATGAAGAGCTTAAAACAAAAATTGACTTTGTATTTCTGAAATAATAAACAAGGTCATATTTTCTGCATTGTTTATATAGTTCAACTTGTGATATAAACACTGATAAAGAATCTTAATATCAAGATAAAGAATAATAAGATGACTGATTCTTGAAATGAGAATAAGATGAAAGTGATTACTTAAGTAACTTTTATATTCACTTTGTAAAAGATAATGTTTTTTGATAACACTTTTTAATATTGCTTTTTAATAACACTTTTTAATAACACTACTGTTAATTTTGAATAGATTGACTAATAATTTAAATATCATAGATTTGAAACATTGTTAATGTGATTTGTATTTCTTCTAAATAATAATAATGATTTCATGATATTTAATAAATAAACAAATCAGTCACATCACTGAATATAATACAGAATGTTAAAATATGATGAAGTTCAATATATGAAATGACTGTTC